TTTTGTTTATATGCACATGCAATTAAATGCGTTCACAAGAATTAGACTTCTCATTGTATACATATTTGGCCTCGTCTAAGTTTAGATATATTTGTTTTATTTGCGCCTTTCCAAAGGGAAAACAAATATTGGCCTTCTGTAATTCATAATTATCATCAGCAGCAGCAGCAGGAGGCCATTCTGTATCGACTACCGGATGGAAGGCCTCTGCATCTCATTGCAATCACTCGCGATCCCACAGTGCTGTATTATACCCATCTCACCCCAGCACGTGAATCGAATCTTCTTCTTCTTACTCCACCTCTGCTCCACCTCGACCGAGGTTTCGCACTGGTTTAAGGGATGTGCACAATCACGTGTGGAGGTTTCTGAATGAAAATAAATGATCAAGTGATGTCCAATTTTTTCGGTGTTCCTTGGAACTCGTTGCCGTTCGAGGTCAGGACTTTCGAGACAATTATAAATCTTATAACCTCGACTAAAAACGTATCCGCTTCAAATAGCGTTATCTCTGAGACACAAACCTTCAAATTTAAACTTAAAACGTATCCGCTTCAAATAGCGTTATCTCTGAGACACAAATCTTCAAATCTCGACTAAAAACATATCCGCTTCACATAACTTTATATCTGAGACACAAATCTTCAAATCTCGACTAAAAACATATCCGCTTCACATAACTTTCTCACTTCTTCTTTACTTGGTTGTTGTTAACTATTTTCCACCTTTCCATACAGCGTCATTAGAAAACAACCAGTGAATGAGTGGCCACACATTCCGACAACAGAGCTCCGTGGTTCACACTGCAAGGGGACCCAGGCCAATGTGGCCATTGCGGCCTGTGGCGCAATTTGATATCCAAAATGTGTGGCCTGGGTATGCTTTTAGGTCCATATGTGTGCACTTTAGGAGCGGTAACGGAACCCAAGCTTGGAGGCCAATTGTTAGATCCTCAAAGTTGGTATCGTATTCTATCGCTTTGAAAGTGACACAATTTCACATTGGACCGTATCTGACGTCAGCCTCTTTTCCGCCTAAATTAAAGTCAGTTTTACATTGGGCCTTCCCCTAAATCACCATCAGCCATGATCAAACCGCTGCTTGACTAAGGCCTTTTCAGGTCATCGCCATCTCTCACGGTGTCACAATGCAATAATCTATCTACGGGCCTACACATGAGCTGATGTCATTGTTCCATCTCTGTAGGAGATGCTCTCTCATGCGTGTTTCCCCCTATTGGTGCCACTCCATCATTAGTATCGCCCACCGGCCATCATCTTGTCGACCACCAGGTCCTTCCCCAAGCCCGTGTACTTCACTTAACAGCCACTCTGATGACAACCGAGTTATACCTTCAATACAAAAAAGCAATCCATGGGCACGGACGATTTGCAGTACGAAGTACGAATTCAAATATGAAAATGACGAGGAATTCCACCGCAACAGAAACATTATACGGTGCTACTGACTTCATCTGGGCATTACAATACACAAGGGAGTAATTTATTTCACGACAGGCTGGGCACAGTTCAGCGTTTGTCATCATTACTGCTGCTCTGAAAAGTGGTAACATGACAAACCCAGTTTCCGCAATCATTCGCTTTTCTGCAGGGGACATGATAATTGCAGTGGGTGGCTTTGTTATTCCCTTCAGAAGACCTTTATTTGTATCCATTAGTGCGGTGAAAACAACATTTCTATAACGTTGTAAAATTGTTGTCCAAGCTTCTTGCAACATGCTTGTGGTTTATATCTGTCATGTTGTTCTGGAGTTGCTTGTATTCTGCCGACTACAAGTCTTATTTGGAGCACAAACATCGCGTCGAGTTATTGAAGGAAAATTTTACCGTGAAATCGTTACAGGAAATTAATCATAAAACCGGTGTCTGCAGTTTATAAAATTACTTTTCATGGAATAATGGTTGTGGTGGAGTGACTCACCCCACCACAGCTATGATTTTAGGAATCAATGTGTTTCATTTCGCATATTTTATGCAATGGGTTGGCATCACACCTATAGCCTGCCACTCGTGGCACCAGCACATGAAAAACATAGAGCATGAATAGACTCACAACCATGATTCATAATTCATGGAATGCTTGGATGGTGGGGGTGGGGGGTGTTGCTCATGTCAATATTCCAGCCAAAAATGATTGGTTTTAAGTAAATATCCACGTGCATCTTGAACACTTAATGCACTTGCGCATGTTGAACACTTCAACATTTCAATGCAAGGCTCAATTGCAATGTAAAACTACACAGTATGACTGCTATTCCAATACCTGTATACAGTTGTTCGCATATTAAATACATGTAATATTGAATTAAAATAGAAATGATTAGAGTTTTTAAATCCTTTATATTAAGTTCACTTGCTTGCTTAGGACCATGCAAATCTTTCGGTCGTTTTTTAACCCACTTCCCGTGATCCAATCGAGCTGGCATTTTCCACACAGACTCGTTGTGCGTGACAATGAATTTTCGTGAAAAAAAATGTCCAAAATTTTACACTGTTTAGGGAATTTTAAAAATATTTATTTACCAATTGGTTAATGCTGGCACACAATCATCTGACCCATAGCTGGCAGCCATCTCAAGCCAGAGGACGGGAGGACTCTAGCCGCCCTGATGCCACGCATATAAAGGATTTATAGTGAAAAACTTTGTTTTTACGGGTTATTACAGTATCATATTGGGAAAACACGGTTAAATTATTAACGTTTTATGATACTAAGCCAGCATAAGTTATTCTGGTCCTCAATAACATCTTTGGCAGATATGTTTCAGGTTAGAGCTATTACGTGTTTCATATTCATATGACTCCATTATCATTAATGACAATCAATCTATGGTTGTAATGCCACGTAACCTTTAGTAAACTGGTATTGTGGTTTTGTGTGAGATGTGAAAACCCATCTCATCGGCAATATCAATAGTGTGGTAAAGCCTGCGGAGGCTGCAGGTTCGTGGCTAAATAATTAAAAATATATATATTTTAAAGCTAACTTATCTTGAGGTACATGAGGGACTTAATAAGTGTCAACCGCGTGACATGAAGTGAATAAGCAAAGTTAAACGGTTCTTGAAACATACAATTACGCTTTGTAAATCCCAAGAAGCCCTTACCTGAAATCACAACACGGTCTCCTATTGTTTACCACGTGGGAATTAAAGGCCAAACTCTGTTTATATATACACGTCAGCCCTGTTCCTGGTCGACTCTGCTACGTGAATAGAGGAGGTTGGAGGTAATAAAGTTGACTTGTCGTTCAAAAGTCCAAAAGGTGCACAGTAAATGCAACGTAGGCCGGACTACCGGATTTAAGTGGCAGAAATGGAACCTTTAGACTTTTGTGCGGTGAAGATTCATAGGGGCTGGCTGGCTGGCTTGTTGTTGATTCCTGAACACAAACCAAAATATTCCTTCGAAAATGTTGGACAAGGATTTTCTCCAATTGTTGCCAGACAGCGCCACCTTGTGTTCACAATTCCACGTGGCGATAATATAATTTGCTAAAACAATGTTTTACCGCTCTGCATTCATAATTGGATGTCTCTTTTAGAAGATAGCTACAAAAAACAGGCACCTCGATATCAAAACAGAACTTTATTATAAACAAAAATTGTACCTAAACACAAATTGTTCAAATACCAACATTGTGCTTGAAATTAAATACGTACTTAAACTATAAAGCCAACATTAAAGTGGCCATTTAACACTCGCAATTGGTATGTGTGACCATTACCGGCACTATTCAGTTTTAACTTTAAAAAATGTAAGACTTACAAAATAAGCGTAACGATTCAACAGAGGAACTCGTGGACGAAAGTTTTCGGGAATGAGAGAAAGGCACTCAATGCGAAGCGGCACACTGCTACGATGCAAGCCAAACGCTGCAGTATGTTAGTGCATATTATATTAGTGCTGTGCTTCTCAAGAGAGTGGTCCGCGAAGCTGTGATGCTAAATGATCCTGATGGCGGATACCCCGGGGTAACAAATAATACAAACTGGGCGAGGCATTTAAATATTTTATTTCTGGGACACTATTTTTTTCCAGGGGTGTTACTCAACTCCGCGACTGGGGTACCAATCAATCCGAAATCAGAGCCACTCCGCAATGTCGAAACGCCGAACATTAGCATTAAAAAAAAATCAAAAAATGCATATTTTAATAGTGCATCGTGTACAGCTCGTTGAGATGAGTCGATTGCCGCATCGCCGACCATCAACAGACTAAACATGACTGCATCACGGACATCGTGCGAGAGCCGGGGTACTCTGGAACCCCGGGGTACCGCCATGAGGTTCACGTGTAGGTTGATCCGGAAATAATGACGATGTTTATACCTTTTGTTTCGGACATGAATTAATGTTTCACTTATGTTATTGAATTAAAAAAGATTACCCTGCTTGAACTACCGTACTGGACATGTGAAAATGAGCGTTAGAGCTCATCGGATTCCTACAGTAAAAATACATATTCTGATTCTGATTATTCTAAATGCCCCCCCCCCCCCCAAAAAAAAAAACTTTACAGCTATAAAACAAAACTTTTAAAGTTCCGATAGTATGAATAATTGCACAAGTGGTATTTAGAGAGAGAAGTGAACGCGTTGTCACCAGGGGTGTGGGGGTTGAGAAACACTGAATTATAACTATTCACTATTGGTGGGGGTTTCGGTGATTATATATATTTAATATTAGATAAGCACGAACTACTTTTCACTGAACATACGTATTTTACACCATTTAAGAGGTATTTACTTTACCTGCACTTACACTATGGGAACCTCATTTGCCAGTAAAAATATGATAATTGGTTTTTTACCCTTCTATCTGGCAACAAAACTGACACCTTTTTACAAGGAGTCATGTTTGCATAGACTGCAATACCTGCAGCCATAATACAAACAAAAGACATAACATTATCAGAGTTATGTCAGAGTTATGTCTTTTGTTTGTATTATGACTGCAGGTATTGCGGTCTATGCAAACATGACTCCTTGTAAAAAGGTGTCAGTTTTGTTGCCAGACAGAAGGGTAAAAAAACAATTATCATATTTTACCTGCACTTGTTAAGAAAATGTTTATTGTGTGATCAACCAACCCTCTCCTTTCAGCACTGTGAAGGAGAAAGTTGGTTGGTCACGCAAATGTTGTGAAACTCCTCTTCCATGAGCGTCGAGTTGATGCCATATCCTGGCTTGCCAGGAGGAGGCGGCAACTCATTTCTGTCCGTTCCGTTTGGGATCGAGTGTTACTCCCTCACATGCCTGGGTTTTCTGCAGGTGCTCCAGTCTCCTCCCGCGTGTATAAGCGCGTATCAAATGGCTGATAACACCTTAATATATAGAGGACTGCAGAACTTTGGGGAGAAAATTGTCACCTGGCTGCCTTCCCCACTTGTCTGTGGTTCCTTACGCCATAGGGTAATTGTCTCTCTTCGGCACATCACAAGGTGAAGTCATTGTTGTTATGAGTAGGTGATTATTTTTCATCTTTGAAAATTTAAAACGTCACTCGATTTGCACATTTACAGTGTGACATGTTTTACAACATATCACAAATTCCGTTGATAATGGCAGAATTTGTGATTTGATCACAGAAACCCCACTAAATAACGTGCACAATCTTGATAGGGTGTAAAAGTAAAATGAAATCAACATACAACAAAATTGCATAGGCGTTTAGTTAATGAGTACGGTGTCTAAGAGCACAAGTTATGCTGTTAAATTACCTATTAAATGCGTTAAAAGTATTTGGTATATGTAACACTACTTGATGAAATATGCATACATTTATGAAGAAGTAAATAATTTCAATTCGTGACATAATAAACATTAGCAACAACATGTTAGAATGCATGTGAAAACAAACATAAGCATAAAAATCAACACGCAAAACTGATTTGAATTTTCTGTGGATTATGGGTCCCATATTTAAAAAAAAATCACCTTTATGCAATTTAATGACTTATAATGGTTTTCATAGCGGCATTAAGCACGAGACTTTGTAAAACATGCACTGGGTACTCTATAGCAAATCAAACATCTCATTTGCATTCACCATGCCACTTAAGAAACAATGTCATAATACCGAACGCTAATTTACTTGAATCTTCCTCTTTCATAAGGCCGACCTAGATGCGGAGCAACGTGTACAACTTATCGTAACTTCAATCGTAAACTTAAACGACGCTAGCTCTGAGGCTATCCAGGAGGTCCCAGTTAAACCTGTATGGGGGGTTTGAACCCGGGCTCGAGCCCGACTCGGCAGCCTGGCTCGACTGCTGCTCGCTCTCTGCGCCGCCCTGCGACGCCTCGCTGTGCTCCGAGCCCAGCGACACGCTGCGCGGTGGCATGCTGGCCGGGGCGAGCGAGCGCGTGGCGGCGTGCTCCTCCGTCGTGGCGGCCGGGTCTGCCCAGCTCGTGGGATGCACGCCAGGGTCCGATTCCTGCGAGACAAAACGGTAAAGGTGCAGCCATCCAATTTAGACCGCTGGCGCCACTGCTGGTGCTGGCAGAAGGGACTTTTTTATTGGGTGCAATTGTGAACATCGGCCATATCAGACATGATAAGTACATCCAATCGGCATCATCATTGGTTCACTGCAGTGTGGTGAAGTTAGGACATGTACCATGTGCGCTTGGAATTTGAAGGCCTGAAGACCAGAATCAGTGATCTCGCAGACAGTGTGTTCATTAGGGAGGCAGTTCCATATCCGGGCAGAAGAGTGAAGGAGGGAGCTTCTGTCCAGGGAGCATGTTCTGTCAACTGGGGGGGGGGGGCATGGGCCTGGCTTGGCAGGATTGTGCATAATCAGATGGCACGGCGTGTTTCATACGGGGGTAGAAGCATGCCCTGAGGCATGGAAAGAGCTCCAAAGAGCCTCTAGAGTGGGTACTTTAGCCCACGTTTCCACACTCGCCGATTGACTGTGGTCTACCCATATATACAGCGAGGTTGACAGAGGCGGGGCGAGATTTAAGAAATTACCCATTATGTCAACTGCTGCACTACATTCACAAGCGATTAATTTATCAAGAGGGTCATATTTGAATGTGGAGGGGGACCGTTATGATGCTGCTGCGATGGCAAATATTGTGTGCATCTGTACCGTGGACGTGAGGCGACCAGTGATACCACAAGCCCTCCTGATCGCCTGAATCCAGTCCCACATGTCGTTGGGGCTATCGGCCTGCGGAGTGAGAGAGGACACGTCACTGACACATCGCAGTCTCTCCAGGTCTGTGCAACATGGGATGTTAATAAAGCCGTAGCTTCTGCGTCTGGTGTTCTACCAGTGGTACGGTAAAGCCCAAGGTAAGCCACTCCGTGTGGTGAGATTAGACATGCAGGATATTCTGACACGTGGACTCCTTTACGACTTATTTACAGAAGCCTGAAGAACCCATACATTTGGCAGTGTCCATGCTGTGTACTTGGGCTAGAACGTTATTCACTTATATTAATATAAATTATTAATCTCGCAATGCAAGCATCAAATTGTGTGCAATATTTGCTTCTATTTGTATTGTATGTAATGGGTCCATGTCACGCTGCAGCCACTAGAAGCACTACCATTTACCACAATGTGAACATAGTTAATTATTTAAATCAATTGCAACACATCTCTCCATCTCGCTGTAGAAACTAATGTAAGACACGATTTTTTTTTCTAGAAGTGAGGAAGAGGTGGTCAAAATGCCCACGAGAGGGACTCCCCACAACCCCCTGTAGTGGAGGCCCTTCCGCCAGCAGTGCCGTAAGCAAGTCAGTGCAGGGCTGCACCTTTAATTTTCCGAGGCTTCTCCAGCAAAACCCTTTCCCCCAGTCAGTATTTCAACACCAGAGCCACAGTGCTGATGGCGGGCGCAGCAGTACTGACGGGTGCTGTGGTGGTGCTGAGATGTTAACTCCCTCGCCTGGTATACAGCAGGTCGTGGGTTCGATCTCGACCTTGACGCCTGTATATTTGGAGTTTGCATATTTTCCCCGTGGTCACGTGGATTTTTCTCCGGGTCCTCCGGTTTTGCCTTCCACATTTAAAAATCAACATGCATTGGCTGCTACAAATGTCAACATAAGCCAACGTCATTGGGCTATCAATTGTGGCCAGGTCGCTTCTGAAAGAGAGCTATGCAGCTTAGTGGGCCTGACCAGGTACAATAAACAAAAAATGTTTATTAGTTTAGAGCTGCCGCCTCTCACCTGCACATAGAAGGTCCTGGATGAAGTGACGACTTGAAATAGATTGTCCCGCATCATCTGCTCTCTGTTGAGACACAGGCAGGTGCAGTCATTGCAGATTTTGCCGTGTGTCTGCACAATACTCCTGCTGGTGCCACACAGCTAGATAGGACATTTCAATTGTTTCTAACTTGAAAGTATAAAACACACTTTGTTTGATACTCTCAAGTAACACATTGGGGCGTCTCGGTGGCGAGATGTTGACTACCTCGCCTGATCGCAGAAAAAAATATATAATAGAGTGCTATTTCAGGGAAACAGCTCTAACATGTTACACAGTATACTGCATATTTATTACTTATCAATGGTTTATTTACTTCTCGACATATAATGGAAGCTTATTCTTTGCTAGAAGAAGAAAAAAAACAAATACACATTTCTTGGGGCACCCACGGCACAAACTCTGAAGAAAGACGAGTTCACAAAAACATCACGAGACAGAGTTGATGCTGAATGTGGGTGTGTACATTCAGTCAGTGATCGTATACAACTACAAACCCATTTTCTTTGTTCACATATTATAGCTAATAATATAGGGCTTATACTAAATTGAAGCTCCTGGCGTCTAGTGGTGACATCCAAAAATTTCAAATCACCAACGATAATTTATTTTTATTTTACAAAATCACAATTAACACATTTAGCATTTTAGGCTCTCGCAAAAAACAAATGGGCAGAATGTGCTACGTGATGGCGCCGTACACTGCTGGCGCGGGGAAACACTAGGGCAAGCGAGACGTGCCGAGCACACGACAGGGCGCACCGCGGATAACAACACGACTCCCGCTACGAATACGTCGAAGGAAACAACGAATGCAAGTACCTCGGCAACAAGCGGATTTAAGAACCGTGCATGCTGCCTCTGTCGCACTGGGCAACGTGTAGGGTTTTTTTTTTACGATTCGGCGTGTAAATTCCAAATGGCGTGTAAACTCGCACTTGAGTGCGTAAACTCCACATGGCCAAACTAAAGCAACTTGTTGACGATGCTGAGAGTGGGAGAAACGTCCCACGTGATTGCTGGGTGGCTGTCTTGTTTTGGCTTGTGCTGCTACACCACCATGAATGTAAGTTCCTTATTTTTTTCATTATTATTTTGTTTTGGCGTACATTAAGTGTAGGCACGTCTGCTGAACTTATTTCGCAACCGTGCTCAGTGTACATTCTAACCTTATGCAATAGCTTTCACAATTCATCATATCACATGAATTTAAATGTTAGATTGCTTCTGCTGCTGAATGGAATAGCAAACACAGGCAACATATGATAATTCGTTTTTTACCCTTCTATCTGGCAACAAAACTGACACCTTTTTTACAAGGAGTCATGTTTGCATAGACCACAATACCTGCAGCCATAATGCAAACAAAAAACATAACTCTGATAATATATGCACTGTCCTTGAAGTTGATTGGTCCACACCCGGGACAGCTTTCCTTAGAGCCTAGTCTCACATGGGTTGGACCAGATGACGCCAAAAGGCGCACTAAAAAAAGGTGTCAGCTTTGTTGCCAGATAGAAGGGTAAAAAAACAATTATCATATTTTTTACTGGCAAATGAGGTTCCAGTGGTGTACAGGCAACATACACACGATTTAAATCAACAATTGGCAGTAAGGAGGCGTCTGTTAATTGGGTACATACGTCCTTGCTTTTCAAATCAGGAAACGTGTAAAAGTGTTTTTTTACAAATACCAGTAACATCTGCTATATAAATAATGTCAGCATAAATGCTATGCATGCTCTTGCACAATAATGTTGTACAGACGACCATAACTGAGGCTATTTTTGTTTAAAGCTGCCTTGTGCTACATGTGCCTGTTTATGAAAAACAATAACATTTTAAACTTAAAACGGATTGTGACACTTTAACATATACAATTGCATTGCAAAAATCTAAATTTACCCACTCCCTTCAAAATCGGTTTGCTTTAATTGCTCTGAGGACTGCTCCATGTAACATCTGTTTGGCATTCGATATCATCCAATAGCATTTCTCCGTGACAATAATGACGATTAAATTATCAGTGCTCGTTAGGGAGCTCAAATCATCCAGCAGGCCGCACTGGTTATCGCTGCAGTGTGAATTGGCCATAAAGTATGGTGCCGTCTGCTTTACCAGTGGACGTTAAAGGTCGCCCGACGGCTTTCGAAAAGCGTAGGCCCATCGGCCTGCCCGCGTCATGGTCCAAAGTTGTAAATATTGAACAAAATAACCTGCAAATAACTCAATTGAAGACTGCACACCGCAACATCTCCTCCTACCTTGAAAGCACCGCAACCGATGTACGTGAAACACAGCGCCGTCATGACGATCTTGAACTCACGATGCGGCGCGTATGGCAAATGCACAACATTATTAGCATTCTTTTTAAAAAGATCGGTACAAGTAGTTCCTGTGCCGTTTGAAATGTTTTCTATGCTTTTGTGATACTCACCCAAGCTCACACTGCTTTACATTCTTCACATCCTTCAGATGAATCAACCTCAGGGGTTCCTTATCCTAAAAGTAGAACAGATAAAATTAAATGTGTTCGCGCGCCGCTGGTTTTACGAAAATAACAAATGAGTTATTCTACTATCAGAGTACTTCTTCTGTATCCTGAGCTGCGATAAACGACGTGGTCTAAAACAAGTGATGCAACTCGTATTTATGCGTCATTAAATCATGTTGTTCATATTCACGTGTTTTATATATATAGTTGTGTTGAAATGCACTAGAAAGTATTTCACGTTTTAAAAACGTCCTGAAATGTAAGCATAATGTAGCTCATCTTCTTGGTTCTTTCGGTAAAGTCACGTAGAAGGGAAATAATAAAATAATAAAAATAAAACATAGTAAAAAATAATTCTCAGGACGTTTCGGCCACAACGCAAGCAGCCGTCCTCAGGTGAAGAACAGGGCTGTCGGAAAGACTTTACCGAAAGAACCAAGAGGATGAATCCCTGCAGTCACGAAAGCTTTAAATCGAAACAAAATTAATGTAGCTTTCAGAAATGTTCCTATCCATATTTTCTAATATGCTTTAAGAAAAAAAATCTAAACATTTTTACATAAAACATCTAAGCATTATAATGGAATAAAACTCAATACATTGCTTCTCAACTATACGTTTGCACAATGCACACGTATTTTTTTTTATACATTGATTTCCAATAATTATTTAGTACTATCTCTAAAACTATTATTAAATCTTCTACAGAGAACTCCCAATTGCGGAATAAAAATCATCCCACAAACCACATGACCTTAAGCATGTGGCCTTAATGAGGAAGAGCATACAGCAAAAACACCTGCAGGTTTGTATCAAAATCGTTCACATATGGTTAAAGTTAATTTGTCTTGGTGATACATAGTGTACTTTCTAAGTGTCAAAATATCAAATTTAAGTAGCTCATAAAACTTGATTATCATTATTACGCGCTTTTATTTAACTCACTCTGTCTGTTGTTGTCGTTGTTGTTTTTGTATCCACAAATCTGGTAACTCAATTTTAACCCACTTCTCAATGTGGTATCGACTGCAAACTTGGCATACTTATGTCATACTGATGACAATACTATATTCTATCATAAACAATAAAAAAACATATTTTTAAACATTATTTTTTATATGTTATGTTTCGGCTTGGGTCTAATTGTCCACGGTCAACTGACGTTGGCTGTAATTACGTTATGGCAAGCTTCGGGGCCACTTCCTGGAGTCGTAGAGTTCTTCCATTACTAGTATGGTACATTTTATTAAAGCGTGTTTAAAAAAAAAGTATTTTTTTAATATTACTTATTTTTGTTTCACCTCAGGAAAGTGAGCATTGCAAGTGACCCATTATGTTTATTCCACGTGAGATAAAGGTCATAAAGTTGGCTGCAGGTAACAGCGTTCACATTTTGCAAGGAGGTAAAAGGTCACGTTCGTGGAATAATAACCCGCAGAGCAGTCTTTTAAATTACATTTAAATTATCAGAACGTTGCCCTGCATTTACTGCATTGTATAGGCCATACTGCTCGGCTTAAGTGGCAAATATGGAACCTCTGGAGTTTTGATTTCTTTCCAAAATCTGTTACAATCTCAGTGGGTAGATTCCCTGATGTGCAATAATAATAACAATGCCCTTTATGTCAGCGGTCTCAAGACCCCCTTTCCACAAAAGTATTGCAATGGTATGTTTGGGAACTGGAATACCCAAAGGAAATCCTTGCAGATGTAGCGACACTGAAAACGCCACACAGATGCATGCAATGCATTGCCATACGGCCATCTCCTGGGCCACCTCACTGCCCAGGCTGTTTCCCATCTGAGTAGCAACCAGACTCAACCCTGCTGGTCCTCCGTGGTCTGACAAGCTTGGGTGAATTTACTTTGATCTTGAGCAAGAATGCCAAAACACACCTGCTCAGATTTGTAGTAACTCAACGAATGCTCGCTGAGAACAAAGAATCTTCTCCTCCAGGTCTTCATCTGCGAACGAGAGCCCCACGGAAGAGTGAATCGGCGGGAATCAGCACTGCAGTAACACAAGAATAGTGTCTGACCTTGCGTGCTCGCTATGGTTATAGCCAATGCTAACCAGTGCTCATGACTGAAAACAACGCTTCAAATGTGACTCGACAAATTAGAAGCAAAAAAAAACACGCACTGAAATGAATCAACAGAATTCTAGATTTGAAGCTTTCGTGACTGCAAGGATTCATATTCTTATGTTTTTTCGGTCAAGTCACGTAGGTAAACAATTTTAATTAATAAAAGTAAAATAAAAATAAAATAAAATCACGACGTTTCGGAGGCAACACAAGCTTCCATCTTCAGGTGGAACATATATCACTTGATACAGCGAGCGTGCTGTGACTGTTCCTCCTGGAGACGGAAGCTTGTGTTGCCTCCGAAACGCCGTGATTTTATTTTATTTTTATATTACTTTTATTAATTTAATTGTTTTACTTACGTGACTTTACCGAAAAAACCTAAGAAAAATCAACAGAATCTTTCAGGAATGGTCTAGTACATGTCAATTCACTGCTGGATGACGGAATTTACATGCCATGTGGTTCATGGGAGGGCTATTTGACCACACTTTGCCACACTGTTCAGTGCAGGTCGATAAACGTGGAGAGTGTCAGACCCGGGAATATATAATTGCATGACAACAATGTGTTTTGCTGCACCGCCCGCCACGTAGCAGTGCGGCCTATAACACGTGTTTGATGTATCATAGTCACCCATTCAATCACTATCAAGGCTCGAACCTGCTTATTTGCTGAGATATGATGGGATTGGGTGCATTTACGGTTATTTGGTGGTTTGGTCATAGATGACATTTCATCACATACATATCCATGGTCATAGGATAACGAGCGGTTTTTGTAAAAAAAACAAGGACGCTCTTAAACACAGCAATTAAAAATATGACATTAAATATTCTCGAATATACATTCCCTAGCACGAACACATTCGAAAGAACAAGTTTCACAGCACGCACGCTCCATGCGTCGAAATGCACCCAATGCACATGTTATGTCTGGCCGTCAATAAAGCACACATGCGGTGCACAACAACAACAACACAGCCGTTCGAAAGTAATACATTCAATGCAAGTGGAGAGCTGAAAAAAAAATAACACGTGGCACCTGACCGATTTCATCCCCCTTGCCAAAATGAATTACAATCAGATGCTTTAAAACAACAGTTTTTTTTTTTTTCTTGCTGTGGATTTCACACCTGATGACGATTGCTTGTGTTGCAGTCGAAACGTCATCATAATTGTATTGTTTAATATTTTTTTTATTTTATTATTTTCCTTCTACGTGACTTTACCCAAAGAACCAAGATACAACTGTGTTTCTCGTGTATTGTTGTTGCAATGGTAAGATACACCGTTAACTGGTGTTGCAAACAAAAAAACAAGCTTTTGCCTTGAAACAGAATTGTTTTTCTTGTACGGCCTTAGCAGGTGTGTGTGTGTGTGTGTTGCTTAATACCACTGCTCCTAGCTTGACACAGTATCCCGACTTTATGGCCGGGAGGGAGGAGGCTGAGTAACGGTTCCTCCTTCCGTGACCGCGGTCTGTAGATTCCTGTGACTCATCCTCCTACAAAAAACACACAAGTGCAATGAAAAACACCTCGACTCATCAGCAGAGAAACAGCTGGCCTGTTTTCTGTACGGTTTTTTTTCCATTCGTGTTTTATAGATACTTTTACATGTGTTTGTATTTAGAGTACATGCGCACGTGTGTTTGCGTGTGTGTGGAGTGTAAGAAGACCGCCTCGAGTAAGACTGATTGCGAAAATCGTTGCATGCTCTCTGTTTCTGTGCCAATTTTTCATTCATGGTCATGTTTTAAAGTAGAACCTTGTACCTTTGTCTGGACAGGAAGTTATACAATATGTTGGTAATATTCTCAAGATGTCATTTATGCATTTACATCAGTTTATAAATATACAGTAAAGTGCTGCAGCTACTGAGGTTTGAGATATGAACACATTTTTCCCCACTCATGTGTATGCCTTTATTTTTCGCATACAATTTTTGATGAACAACTTTAAATGTGACTGTGAAAAGCCTACTCCTGCTTCGTATTTCTTACACGAGTTACACAATCTAAGGCGCAGACGATCATTTCCATTTATATGTATTAGGCGCCTTTGTTTGTGTGAGCTTGTAAAATTGTGAGACCTTGGAGGAGATTAAAAAATGTAACAAGCTATATGGTTGGACCAAAGATAAATGAGCGGTGCTAAAGTCAGACACGACGTGAAGGTTGAATAAAAAGAAAATAATTGTTGTAGGGATACAACTGGATAGCCAACAAGGGATGTTTGTGCATCTTCGGGACATTACTGAAGGTGGATCTAAATGAGGAAATTAACACAGAGCAGCTTGGAGCACTTTTTGTCAAATTAAATTGGCTCATGAAAAGCAACTTATCATTGTACCTAAAGCAAGAAGAGGTTCAGATGAGCGCATATTACCTGCTCCGATACATGGATCATAGTCATGGACAAGAACAAAGAATGTTTTTTTTTACTAAAAACGTGAAAAGTGGGCAAAGTAGCTCGGCTGGAAATTCCACCGAGAAACAGAAAAGGGAATGAATGGATCAGAGAGCAAATGTAAATTCGAAACATCAAATAGACTTTGAAGAGAAGTCGGCTTGGCCAGGACACATCCCGAGAGAGGAAGATTGCCGATGGACGAGACTTCTGACATAACATCAGTACTGAATTGAATCTTAAAAGTTTAAAAGGGTGTGACAGCTTATGCAACAATGCAATGAAAACATGAGGCAACGCGTACAGTGCTTCACGGCAAAACGATACTCTGAACGAATGACTGTACACTTGAGATATTAAATGTTGCAACCATGCCCTGTGTAACAGCAGTACCTGGCTGAGCTGTGATTTGATGACCACACCTCCAATCACCTCGGTCTTGTAGGGCCCGGCTTTCTTGGCTCCGTGGTGCGGATGGAGGCCACCCTTTTCCTCCAGACGGCCCGCAGGTGCTGTCCAGCTGGGATGAGCATTGTCGAGGCACCTACAGCGCACAAGGGTAACAAGCTATTCCCACGTCTGGTGAAGATCGGCACTGTGCATACTGTCATCAGCGTTGCCACCTCTGAGGTCCAAAAGAAAATCGGGACATATCGTGTGCACAATAATACCTCACAATATCGGAAGAGGGGCGGACTACATATAAATGCATTGTCTTTGAGTGGTGCATTGCTGCACAACCGAAATAAGAAGAAAAAAACACAGGAGTTTAATGTTCCAGGAAGGCTTGCAGAATTCCCAGGACAGCGTCATCAAGAAGAGGACAATACTCCTGGGAATACCAAGATACGTAGCCAGCCTCACCATTGTGCTGGATTCTTCAACGAGCGGCCCGCGGACCACAAAAGGCTTTTGGGAGTGGCCCGCCGAGTTATTGCCCGCTGAGCAACACGGCTCGGCTCAGACATTATGATACACGGGTTGGTGAGTCAAAAGATGTGACAAAGCGTGCTTCCGGACGCTACAGAAGCAAAACATTCTGGCTTGAAACTTGCTTATTTAAACTACTTTCCTCAGGGGTGGTGTGAAGCAGTGAGTAAGATATCAAGGTGTTACAGCCTGCTGCTGAAGCTAGTCTGGCTGAGACGGTCTGAGGCCACGATGTTACGATCATGAAGTGCCCAGAAGCACACTTTGTCATGTATCAGGTCACCACATCTGCATCTGGCAGCAAGACAAGATAAATAAAATTACCGCGATGAAAGTGAGATAAACAAGAGAAGGACGAGACCTGCAGACAAGGGGTATGGATATGACGTCGCTGCACAATGCTCCATTATAAACACATCTACACGTCACTTATGATGTCGAGTGGCTCGCCAGCACGTGCTAATTTCACGTTGTGGCCCACCAAAAAATACAGTTCACGAACCCCGCTGCAGCCTATTTTCAGCGGGAGATCTGCACGGCCTACTCTTCCATGCCGACACTGCACGTCGCTTCACGCATTCTGCAAATCAGTTGACTTCACTCGAGATCAAGGTGTCATCATGACCCCAAAGCTACTGATGCCGCCACAGCTTGATAACACTCTACACTCTGCTGGATCTTGCAGCTGCTGCAGAGTAGCCAAGTGAACTCCAACATTTGCCCCAACAGTTTGGTCGCCAGACTTGTGGAGACCGTTTAATCATTGGCTGCAGAGGCACTGGCAGTGTGACAGCTCCCACTGTTGCTCCCACTGATGCCAAATGTGCTAATTATTTACCCGGGAAAAGCCTCACTGCATTTCCAGACTCTTTTTCAGGAAGATCCTGCATTGGGATGTTTCTACGAAGACCGTCGATGCATGTTGGGCATCATTTTCCTCCAACAGAATTCAAACTTCATCCCTTTGGATTGGAGGGCCAATGGCCTAGCGTCTACGCTGCGATGGTACCATGTTGTCCCGCAAAGCCTCATTTTTAAACCTAGGTTCAGAGTTCATTCTTTAAATAGTTGTCTCATGTTACATCATACAAACTAGCTACACCTCATTCTTCACAGGTTATCCTACTTTTACAACTTACTTAAATCTAGATTTAAAACTAATTTCTTCAGAAATACTTTTTTGTGTTTAGTTTGTTGGCCTCCCCCCGCACTTCCGATCGTTATGGTGTGCTATGTAGAGTGCAAAAGAAGTTCGACATTCATACGTGCAAAACAACATGCTATGTCAATACAGAACCGAGGAGTTTATTTCAAAAGAACAGCAAGAAAGTAGCATACATTCCGTAGAATTTTTGTCTGAATTTAAAATATTTCCAATGTAATGCCCGTTGTTGCTATGCGTGGCTAAATGATAATACTGCAGTCTTTAGCAGGGAGCTATAAAGCCAGCTGTGCTATTCACTTGAGAAACTTAAAAATCCCATGACACTTTTTAACAGTGGACTACTGTTAGCCATGTAATAGCCAAATCAGCCGCCCATAATGCGTAATGTGATTATGGAATTTCCCACAACAATTTTTCTTAGACTATATGTTCCACTGCACCCAAAAGAATTGCTGTACCCAATGAGAAAAAAACGAGAATGCCAATGAAGTCCCACTTTACCCTGTACACAAAATGACTCAAGCTTCCACTATTTATTCAAACGGCCATTGTCATCACAGGCATCACTCTACCATCATCATCAGTGCGCAATGTTTTTTTTACTATTCTCATATCATAAAACAGTGAGGTTTAGGAGAGATCAAACACTTAAACAGAACACTGTAGACAGTCTTATGCACTGTAACACGTGACAACAACTCGTATTTTACGATTCCTCTCCCCATACAAAGTTATGAGTTACAAGTGCGCATTGAAACGGTCCTTCCATCTGCACCTCATTCTAGCTTGATGTCTTCCTTCCTTGCTTTGTTAATGCCCAGTGGGGTGCCCCATGTCCAACATTATAAAGATATCAGTGGCCCAACAATCGTAATCTTCTTGTGGAACCAAACACTAAACAGTGTTTTCTCTCATTCGTCATATAGCGTGGCCTGATTGAGCTTTCAATGGCCAAATAATGTCGTCATCTTAAATATATTACACAGCATAATACTGGCTAATACATAAAATATCTTAAATTACGCTACATTTTAAAGGTCAGTTGGATGATTATTATAGAATAAACATAAAAGCATATTCTGTATTAAATTGCAGTACCCATCACAGATATTATGGTGCTACGTGGTGGGCAGCAGAGGGAAGTGCAGACAAATCCAATGTTGTACTGTGCTTCTGTGCTTCCACGTGTATGAGCTCCTCCTCCACCAACCCGCACTGGCCAGCATGGCGAAGCATGTTCAAATAACCCCAATGACCCGCACAGCGTTTGGGGAGCCCCTCATCCAGCAATGGATTGATAAGAGGGCTGTGCACGTACACATGCACATTATGGCTCCTGTTTCGGGAACACAAATACAGTTTCCGTGGAGGAGTTTTTTTGACGCAATACATTTCCCGCATCTCTGATCGGGAAGCAAATTGAAATAGGCCACGCAATTACAGTAGTAGTCATAATAATAAATTCCAGCCATTCTCAATCCACCAATGGATGAAGGCCTCCCTATGCCACGTTGATCATGGAAGTTTTAGACCATACTCCACCAGGCTTGTCAATGAGGATTGCTGGTGAGGGGAAGGGCAGCATCAGTTGTGATATCACTCACCGCTGATGTCAGCTGTGGCCGGGAATCTTAGGTCGCTGGGTTCACAACGCAGAGCGCAAACCACTGTAACGCCAATTCACCCTGTTTGATGTATTATTTTAGAACAGTGGTAATTTTGTCTCGACGAGAGACAAAGTGTTCCTTATGGAAAGAGCACATTTTTTTGGTGCAAGTTTTATCCAAACAAGCCTCTGAGATCTACTACCTCAGCAAAGAAGACCAGCTGTTCAACTAAAAAAAAAACATGTTTGCACATTTTTAAGTGTCACTAAAGAACAAGATGTTTAAATATAAAATAGCAAATATGTTCACCGTGATCTTGCAAAGGTTGTTTAGCTCAGAGACCCACTCCTCCAGGTCTCGGTCATCGTTTGCCTGCAGAAAGAACTTCCTCTTGATGGCGGTTATCACTGGCAAACAGAATCAGTTGCACAATGGTCATGGTATGCACTTGCCAGCACAAATTCATCATATTACTCACCAGCTGGTATATTTACCTTTAGAGTAAACTGTGGTTTTATGGTGCGGGTGGGCAGCCAGCCACACTTAAAACCTTGGTCTAGTTTCAATATTTTGTCTTCGTAAGGGGTCTGCAACCAGTGACTCTGGTGCCGCATGCGGTGGCTCTTCAAGGGCTGTTTTGTGACCGTCATTTATTAAGGACCACCACCATCTCGTATTCACCACACAGTGCATTGCGGCTTTTGAGTTTTTTTTACCGAATAAAAAAAATGTCTCTTCCTGTTATTTTGATTTCCGACCCCCTGGCCTAGGTCATTACAAGAGTGGCAAATATGAAACACGTCTAATAAAGCAAAATCATAAACACAGCATTGCACATTTCCATCGTTTTAATTTTGTAAACATGAGTCCTAAGAAGGCTTCATCAAAAAGTGCTTATATGACCGATAGTTTTTTTTGTGTTTTTTTTCTGGTGGTGCACCGAGTGAATTGAGCACTATAAATGGGAACAACAGGTTATTGTTCGGCAGGATGGATGTCAGTACTCCCACCTCTTACAAGGGGCCCTACCAGTGTGAAAGAGTAGGCCAATTACCATTTAGAGAGGTTCTCTAGATCTCCCTCGAATGGACGCAGTGGCATGAGCAAGCAATTTCAGGGCTGCACCTTAACCTTTAATTGCGTTCCCTTAGAAAATCTCTCATATCCAGAATACTTATCGAGCTGCGATATTTAACATGTTAGTGCAGAAACTACTGGGAAGATTACAAGTCCAGGAGTCCACTGAACTGAGAATAAAAACCTGTTGCATGTAAGTTCAGCTGTGTGGTGTGAATGACAGTACATTCTAGTGTTCGTGTTAAACTATAATTTCCGAGGATATGTACTTCCACTTGATAACACTTACCGAAACAGTTCTCCACCTTTGGCCTGAGTTTGCAAGCATCTGAAACCTGTACCCGTGAGATCGTTAGCACACTGTCGCATGTTGCCATCAGTGATGCACGAATACCGCTCTGTTCAAACGAGGACAGTGAATGTGTAATGAGTTCGCATTTAACAAATGACCCTTTAAATACTGAAGCAGGATCATTCACAAAGCAGGTAACATTTGCAATATAACTTACACACGCACGAAAATATGGACATAAGGTTACCAAAATGCAGTTTACTGAAAACATGTTTAAGTTATTACTATTATGTAGTGGTATTCTCACCAAAGAGATATAAGGGAGGCTAAGGTTCCCCAGTGGACCAGTGCCATCTGGAAGATTCTGCAGTAAAGAAACACACAAATACACATTTACACAGATTTTTACACACAGATCAAACGAATCCACGTTTACACGTACAGTATAATTAAACAGTGAGACAATGGCGGAGTTCAAGTGCAAACTCACCTTCTTCTATACATTTCAATATTTGTGCTTCACTTTTGAACTTCCACGAATAATGTTAATATTCAGTAGAAAAAGGAAGGAAAGCCTCACTGAGCATCACGCCTCTTTCAGGATGGTCCTGCATTGGGATGTTTGGCCAATGCCATTCACGATGTGATGTTTGGCCAATTCCATTCACGATGTGATGTTTGGCATGTAGGAGTAAAACCAGAGTACCCGAGAGAGGGCCCACAGATACGAGGGGTTACTCTGCATCATCGGCATCTCCTGAGCACCTCACCTGACAAAAACTGACAAATCCTGGTGGTCACCCATGCCAGTGCTAGCTCGGCACACCCACGCTTATACTTTCTGAGATCTGACTAGATTTGGTGCAGCTAGGGTGATTTGGTCATAGATTAAAAAAAAATTACAATACATTATCTTGAACAAAACTGATGGGAGAGAAAATCGGAAAAATATAAGCACTGCAAGCATCAATTTCTAATCTACACCAAAATTACGATACCAAAGTGAAAATGGGTCAATATGTGGTTGCATCACCAGCAGTCTCTCATGTCATGATTGCAAAATTGTTCTAGTGCTCGTGTCAATCTCAGCTTGGGTGGCTTGAAGACACATGCATTAATAATGCCCTTAATGTGCCGGTGTATAATGACTGACCATTACTGACCTTGGCCATTAAGAAAGCCAATTTGATACAGTGCAGAGAGAATAATAAATTATGTAGAACATGTACTGCATCTGAGCGATACAGGACACCTTCTTGGTTCTTTCGGTAAAGTCACGTAGAAGGGAAGTAATAAAATAATAAAAATAAAACATAATAAAACAATTCTCACGACGTTTCGGCCACAACGCAAGCAGCCGTCCTCAGGTGAAAACCAGGTCCGTCGAGGCGACAGAGTCTGAATGAAACAGCACACGAGCTTGGAGCATATATATAAGCTGGGCGCATTGACAAAGGAATTTGCATATCAAAAGGAATTTTGCATATTTATGGGAAATGCAGGAATGTGATTAGTACTGCATATGCATGTGCATTATGCAGGATTAACAGCATCAAAGGGAGCTGCAGTTACTGCTGCTGCAGCAGTTGCTGCTGCTGCAGCAGTTGCTGCTGCTGCTGCAGTTTCTGCTGCTGCTGCAGTAACTGCAGCTCCCTTTGATGCTGTTAATCCTGCATAATGCACATGCATATGCAGTACTAATCACATTCCTGCATTTCCCATAAATATGCAAAATTCCTTTTGATATGCAAATTCCTTTGTCAATGCGCCCAGCTTATATATATGCTCCAAGCTCGTGTGCTGTTTCATTCAGACTCTGTCGCCTCGACGGACCTGGTTTTCACCTGAGGACGGCTGCTTGCGTTGTGGCCGAAACGTCGTGAGAATTGTTTTATTATGTTTTATTTTTATTATTTTATTACTTCCCTTCTACGTGACTTTACCGAAAGAACCAAGAAGATAAATCCCTGCAGTCACGAAAGCTTTAAATCGAAAGATACAGGACACGTCATCTTTAATGGTTGGTCTTTTTGCCCCAATGGACTTGCGGTGTCTTGCCATGAGATGAACATTACACTTGGAAATCTGGAACAGCAAATGTGCTCTGTAGGAGAGGATTGCTCACAGATGAGATTGTTTTTTTGCATGACTTCTCCAGAAAAAAATTGTCATGTGCGCTATTTAATGCTTTACAACAAAGATCCCCCGTATAGCCTTAACAGACTGTGCTGTTAGCGAGCACCTATGAAGGCCAGAACGGCACACAAGGGGGTGGGTGGCCAGCACTACGCCCAGCCGCCTTTGTCTCCCCAGTGGTAGATATTTACACACCACACCAGGTACTCATTTGAGGCTGAATCGACCTAGGGGAGGCCCAGGACCGGTTCAGATAATCGTCACTGATGTTGGCCATGAGAGGAAATCGCCAGTTTCGTAGTGCAGCGTGCTAACCGCTACACGACACCGCTCCTCCTTCACATAGTAGGGGACACACTCTTGCACGTGCTTTGCTATTATATGCCCTCATGAAAGTCATGACAATACATTATTTTTGCTTATGCATGCTATTTAACCAGGTGAGCATCGACTGGGAATCATATATAACAGTGACCAGTCTGTTTATTTGCAACATGCAATGACTTGCACTTGCGACTAATGTCACAGTCTCCAACACCCATCAAAAATAATGGACAATGTCCTTTGTTAATTTCCCGTGAACTTTACCATGTTGTTGTGGGAATCTACCCGCTGCCTGAAACCGACAGCAGTGAGGGTGCTGATGACGAGGCTAAGCAGCCACCCGCGGATAACCTCACGAGACCATGAATTGTAAACACAGAATGACATCAGCGGTGCACCCAGATAAAATTTTGGAGGGGGCAATTAATTTCAGGAAACAAAATTGCAGAAAGACTGAGTTTTTTTTCACCCAGCGGCGAGTAATATTAGATCTTGTCCTGCCCTCCCACACTATTGCCAACCCGTACTGATCAGCATGAAGTATGGTAAAAAAAATATATCAATTTGAAAATCATGGCCGACATGACATGGGGAGGCCTTCATCAATTGGCAGATTGAAAATGGATGGAATGTGTTTTTTTTTATTTTAAAGTGTGGCTACTCGAACCACTTTCAAACTGACTGGTAAGTCTCAAAGCATAGGTGAACATGGCCATGGAAGAGGATGTATAAAAATTTAAGTTTGTATGACAGTATTTATCATTTCGGTTAATAATGTGTATGTATATGAAGTCTAAATATAAACTTGCAGTGTGTTGGCTAGCTGCCCAGGAAACAATTTATTTCTGAGCCATGTGGGACCTATAAACAGACGTACGTAAATGTCTGCCTTCCGGATCATGCACAATGCTGAGGAGATGTGAAATAATAAATAATGTACTTATTTTGAATATGCACATATGCTGTTTTGCATGCTATTGTGGAGGAAAGAGTACAGTATGCAGTCTGCGTGTCAGACCTTGGTAGTTTTAAGGTTTTGGACGTGTATTTCAGACACTTCAAAGATGTGACCAATCATGAGTCTAATCATAAAGTGCTTTTTATTTCATTTGGGCATAGTACGCCAACCATTTGGGACTGTAATTCAGACATAAATAATCATCTGTCCGCCTCCCTTGATAATAATGAGCACATGTATTTGTCCAGCGCCATGTTTCAGAGACGATGTCACGAGGCCGAGGCGGCCTGTGGCGATGCTCGACTGTGAAGGGGCATTGTTTCGCGTAGCCTGTCCCACACGTAACAATGTTTTTCATAAATGTTTCTTGGACGTTTCGTGACACCGAATGGATCGAAGGTCAGCCTGGCAGAGCATTCCAGACCCGTGGAGCTGGCAACTCTATAAATGCTGTGCCATCCATTACAACAAGGGAGAAATGTTCATACAATACCATATACGGTAACACGACATTGGCGGTAATCAAATGAACACTTGCAGCCACACTGGGATAGCGGCACTGCATTCGGTTTAATGTGTCAAACCATTGGCTTTATTTCCGTAGAGATGAGTAGATAATTACTTTCAAAATTACACTTTTTTGTGCATTATGAGGATGTTTTTTAAAATCTTGAACCACGAGGTTGCTTAATTCGTAGAACTGCCCACCTGTGGGTTGTCCATGTACCATCTCAGTGTGTTGGTGGTAACGTCCAACTGGAAAAATCGCCGCAAGAACCTGCTGCTGCCCTCGGTCTCCTCAAGGTCCAAAAAGCCACACACGTTCCCCTCGCGATCGCGGTACGGCATGTCTGTGGCGAAACATCAGAAGGCACGGGTTAATTGTCTGAAACAAAATGAAACCACCGATGGGCCCACTTGTTAAATGAATGTAGCATTTACGAAGGATTGATTAAAGTCACTTATACCATTACCATGTTTTCATCATGATGTACAGTATATTATTACAAATATTTTTCGCAGAACACGAACAGGACACATTCCTGGCACACGCACACATTGGAGGTGCAGGCCAAGTGCACTTTAATTTTTCAACATCCCTCAACGTCTCGCACAGAGAATCCACAATAATAATGTCCAGCTCTGTCTTATTGTGATAGGTTTGTCCTGTGGGTGTTCCTAAATGGATGGCGAACACGTTTCTGGACTACGGCGCTGAGGCTTATTGCTCCTGCTGGGAAGTGTTGACATAATGGATGTGCGAATCAGAATGTAGCGGCTCTACGCTTTATTGAAAATAGTTTTTAGTCGGCAAATAATGTTACGCTATTGTAAAAAAGAAATGCACTTTGCAATGATACGTTTCAAATAACATTTCCCACGATCATTTAGTTTGATGCGGGGTGGTTATTGAACCAACATTGCACGCAACATGCGAGTGTCAACTTGCTAAAGTTTTTCACCGTTTGCAAACACCCAAGGGCAATGTGTGAATTCCCAAACATAGCGTGCATTGTTACCGATTAACTAACCTTATTAATGTTATACGCCAACCACCGCCGTCACAAACACTGCCATGTCGAGAAACACCGTACTCTACCGCATATAATAAACACACATTTTGGGCAACGCTCCTTTACAAAAAAATCATCATGCCACACTGCATTTTAATCCAGGGCTGTATTTGGAAAGGCCAATGAGAACACTGTGCTGTAATAATGTAACACCAGATTTAACACCACTGCCAACTAGAGCTGGGGCAATTAGTCGAGTTAAGTCAATTGACATTTATGTTTAGTCGACTACTATTTTGTGGCTAATTACTGGCTGCCCTCACATCCTGCCTCCCAGAGCCACCAACACGCTGCCGTCCAGGGTGACTTGCTTGGCTGGTGATAGCGAAGCCATTACCCGGCTCCCGCTCATCACCTTCCATGCAGTGTCACACGCGGGAACAGAGCAGAGGCTTTGTTCCCAGCTATTTCCGCGTTATCCGATTTGTTGAGCAATAAAAAAAAAATTTAACCAGTAGTGTATTACTTAAATACTGAAATTGGATAGCTCGGCTCTTCGGCCAATGTAATTCCACGAAAGCAGCTTTTTATTTAAAACAAACAATTGGATTAATCCGAAAATAAGACCTAGATACAAAATTTCAGTCAATATGAGAATTGTTTTTGTTTCAGAATGATCTGAAACCAGAAATGGCAGCACTCATATGAATGTCACTTCTTAATTTTTTTCCACCCAAAAGTTTTTTTTGGGTGAATATAATGGAAATTATAAAAAAAAATTTGAAAACGATCCAAAATAGTCTTTGAAAGTTGAAAAATCCTGAGTTGTAAGTCCACAATTCATCCCTAAAAGGAGTATTCACCCTTGTGGAGCAAGTATCCGTCCTGTGCATGGGATCACAAGGGCTCGTGTTTACATTCGCAGCAATGCAGGAAACACCACGCTCTATATAGCACTGTATAATGTATAAATCACCTTGCAGCTGCCCTTCGGACCAGCTCTTGGGTCTGTACTACGGAGACTATAGGGGCATCCAATCAAATGTAATCGATGCACATTTTATCATGTGGGAGCCCAATATCACAGATCTTATTATCCGCAGGGTTATGCGCAAACTTATTTCACTCATCCATCCAAAAAAACTGCAAATAATTACGAATGAATGGAGTAACTTGCCACTCAACCTCTCTTATCCACAAAAAAAATATGAGGATAATTAGATTTTGTATGGCGTATTTGCCCAGAGTGCGTGGCAAGAAAAAGAGCTGTTCAATACCTATGGACAACCGACAGGTAAATCAATTAATTTTCCACACGACCATACTTATATTAAAATGCGCGCATCATTTTAAAAGTGTTTCATTCGCTATGGTAATGCTCAGGCATTGATATTGCAACAGGGGTCTTTGTCATTTGAAGCATAGCAGGTGTGCGTTCATCCCCGTCCTAACCCACGAGTAATGGAAACACATTTCCGTGCAACTCCTCTTACCGCAAAATATTGCACGTGTAATTGTATGTACAGTATGTATGTTGAACTTATTTCGCACCACGTACGTAGCCAACCGTGCGAACCGGAGATGCAGGAAATTGTAAGCCGATCCAAAGTAACCTCTCGGGGAAAAAAAACCTGCGGGTGATGGCTGACAATTGGAAGAAGAGGGCTGGCGATGACAGGGAGTTTTCACGGACCTGACTGTCCCCCACGGATAAGGGGGGCCGTGGACAAGAAGGTCATCATCGCTGCTGGAATCATCTCACGTCGTAGTCCCGTGTGTGTACCTATCTAGAGTTTGTTGCGCCAGTTTCCGCTTTCTCTCGCCAGAGCTTCCCGCTCATTGACGTTGATGTTACAGTCGTGCTTGCGGATGTCCTTCAATAGGGGTTCTGGGTGACCAACACATTTCTTGGCATTTGACATCTCACCAACAATATTACTTGTGTTACTATATCAAAATACTAGGTATACGTTTATAAATACTATGTATACATTTAAATGTAACTGTATTTTCAACGTACAAAATTGCGTTGGATCTTTATTTCGAAAAGGGAAATAGAGTACGTTGAACTTTTAATCTCATACGCCAAGAATGAAATAATTTCACTGCTTCATTTCGCCCATATAGGGAAATATTTTGAGGGGGTAGAAAACCAGATGTTCCACTGATGTTGGGTCATGGAACCAACAAAATTATTCCACATTACTTTTCCACTGTACATTATATAGTTCTGGAGGGCTACTGTATGTAAAAGGTAAAACTACAGCCTTGTAAATGATTTCTCTCACCTTTGCTTTCTATTAGGAAGCCACTGGAGCTATGCACTTTTAAATATAGATTGCAAAGTAATTTCTTTAGAACTGCTTTTTGTGCGTAGATTGTTGTCCTCTCTCCGCACCTGCGATTAGCGTGGTGGGGTACGTGCGGTGTGAAAGAAGTTCAACATACATACATTGCTGGAATAAGTATTTCCATGCTGGCCAAACGACTTGGAAGGGGCTGTGAGTATCCATACCTCCACCAACACGCACGGCCTGTGTGTCGATCGACTGTGGTGCACCCATTTATGCTACTGGGTGAACAGAGTGGCCGGGGATACAAAACTTTCCCATTGTTGCAACTATCGTGCCGGGATGCGTAGGCTTTCGCGAACAATATCATCCATAACACAGGTTTTTTGTTTTGGGTTAAATCGCGTAACTATATAAATGTGTCGTTACCTGCTACCGTTGAACAATAACAGGGACGGATATTTTAGTGCACACAATCGACTGGAGATACAAGAACAATGGGCTTGCAAAATGCACATGCATAATGTATGTGGATTACCATATAAATTGATACCATTTATATGAATTCATTAACCCCCCCCCCCAACTTCGTGCAAGAAGAGCTCACAGGTGATGTCATCATATCTACCCCTCTATTTAAGGAACTAAACAGGAGGATTCATCCACAAATCTGGATGTCGCCTGATGAAGCCAGTTGTAATTACTGGCGAAACGTCGTACTCAGATTGTAGTGGTTTTCTTATATTGACATGCTAATCTCTCACAATACAATGGCCACCTCCACAGCTTCGTCGTCGTGGAGGTACATCAGCTCTCCGATCTTACATTTACACGCAAATTCCATCTCTAGCCCCGCCCACTTACCCTTGGGCTACACCCATCTCAAGCCTATATAACATCCTGCTTCAGCAGCTCGGCCGCTATATTTTTTCCTGCCTCAGTAGCTCTCCCGCTACATTTTTTCACCTGATGACAATTGCTTGTGAGGCGATCGAAACGTCGTGATAGTTTTGGTATTTTATTATTTTTCTATCTACGTGGCTTTACCGAAAGACCCAAAGAATATGAATCAGATTGTAAATGTTGTGGCTTTGCTCTCCAACGCACCGATGTGTGCTGTACTAGTGTAGTGTCAACGATTCAGAGACAGAGTTTCTAGGAGGCACTTTCTTTATTAACAACTTCCACGGTCTCGTTCAACCACCCTCTCCACAGTAGCTCAGCCTAGCCTCTACATTACACTAGCCGCCTAACACTGACGGCGCTGCCTGAGATAGCCAACTACTCTCCTTCGCAGCGCAATATCTAGCGGAGACGTTTAGCGACGACGGCGACGAGACAACAGCAATGATGAGACGAGTCCATTCCCAGAACCGGCAGCCTCGAGCTACCGCTCTGGGCTCCTTTTATGCTCCCAGCGCGGCCTGGCCCCGCCCTGACCACGCCTCCCTTCTCGAACCCGCTAGCGGGTTCCAGGGGCCTCCAGACGGGGTCCTCCATGACCCTTGCCCCAGTTCCTCCCCTCTGCCCACACACTGTGCTGTCCACCAACCGGCGCTATTACACTAACTGCAATATACACCCGTCCTTGGATGGGCAAAAAAGCTAGTTAGGTTTTATTTTACCAGGTAAGGCCCACTGAGCTATACAGCTCTTTTCAAAAACAACCTCGCCGCAAATGATAACTCAATGAAGTGGCTTATCACGTGGAAATAATTATGAGCCATATACTCTAACACATGTTTCTAAATGTGAAGGGAAAAACCGGAGGACTCGCAGAAAATTCCACGCGACCACGGGGAGAACATGTAAACTCCAAATATACAGGCGGCAGGGTCGGGATCGAACCCACGTAGCTAACATCGTAAGTTGCTGAACATATGCTATCCTGAACAACTTACAAAAAGGTCTAAAGTTGTAGTTGTGAGCCAGTTTTGGTAATTAACTTTGTAAACTCATTTTATTCTGTAACAATTTTTCATTCCATGAAAAAGGTAACTTTTACGAATCTGAATTGTGTTATTCCATGCACTGTACATATGCACGTGTGAACTGATAAAGTTGAGAACTTCCTTATTCCATTCTATAAATATAAATTTGAGATGTATTGCAGAAGTAACAAAAATAAGTTTTCACTCTAAATTGCAGTGGCATGAAAAGTCATAAGAACCTGGGACCATATAAATTGGTTAATATATTGTACACTCTTAATTATATGCAGAGGCTTTCACGACCAACATGATTGATAATTATATAATTGGTTTCTTTTGGGTTAGGTCGAGATTTTCTGGTTTTAAGAAAGGTATCCTCCCCATAGGCTTACCGAAAACAAACCAAATATGAATTAATACAATCTCGTTGTAAGCAACAACACGCAGTGTCATCAAGTAAAATATGCTGTAACTTCTAATCAAAAGGCTCAACGTAAGATAGTTTGTGTTGTTTGTAATGGTGGACTGCATCAAATGTCCTGCACTGTGACAGCACTGAGTTAGTGGCAAACGGGAAGTACTCAGCTCATAGCTGACTGATGAAATCAGCACAGTTAAGCCCGTGTGTTTAAAGCGCACGTTCCAGTTTAGTCTGTTTAACCAGGTGAGAAGTCAAGAGACCAGAATGAGTCTCATTTGCAAGATTGAGCCTGGGTTACACAAATGTTGACAGTATTCCCCAAGTAATACCCAGAATGAAGGTATACCTAAACACACACCGTACTCCGGTCTGACTATCCGCAGTTGATAGAGAGTCAGAAAATTGCTGCTTGCTACCTGTTACTAGAACTGTGAGGAATAAACTCGGGTCTCACGATAAGACAAGTCTTCAATCTCACACGCTCTCGTGTTCATCCACTCTTCTAACACGAGCAGCTGCTTGTCCGTGTTTATTGTACAAGGTGGTCTAGATGTCTTGTGACCCGTAATTAATTGACTCCGACATTTCCCCCCCCTCCCTCTTTGCTTATTCATTTCTGTTTTAACATCATTAAATGGGGGGGGGGGGGTCACAAGACATATGGACCAGTACGTGCAATAAACAGCAACGCATGAACTTTCCCAACGGTGACCTCCCCCTACCCACGGTGACCTCTCCCTCCCCCCACACACGGTGACCTCTCCCTGCCCCCCATGGTGACCTCCCCTACCCCCCCCCCCCACGGTGACCTCTCCCTGCCCCCCCCCCACGGTGACCTCCCCCCTCCCCCCAATCACCCCGGCGCTTCTCTCACCTTTGGGGGGGTTGGGGAAGGAGTTGCGATGATGTTGTGTGGGTGGGTCACTCACCGGCACGTCCCTGCTGCTGTTGTTGTTGCTGCTGCTGTTGCTTCTGCTGTTGTTGCTTCTGCTGTTGTTGTTGCTTCTGCTGCTGTTGTTGCTTCTGCTGTTGTTGTTGCTTCTGCTGCTGTTGCTTCTGCTGCTGCTGTTGCTTCTGCTGCTGTTGTTGCTTCTGCTGTTGTTGTTGCTTCTGCTGCTGTTGCTTCTGCTGCTGCTGTTGCTGCTGCTGTGAGGACCCAGGCGGCTTGTGCCTCGTCTGGCGCCGTGTTGTGTGCGTACTGTCTCCTCTCGCTCTCTCTCCCTTCCGCTTTATCGAGTAGTCGGAGGAGGAGGGAGCCACACGAGCCTCTCCCCTCCCTCCCCCCCCGGGGCCACCCGCCGCTTCCGCGTCTCCCGCTTCTGCGGCCGGAGTAGCCGCCCACGCGGGGTGTGTGGTCAGCGGCGACAGCTACAACCAAACACCACCACGTGCTCTGTGTGTGTCCCCTCGCTACACCACCACCACCACGTGCTCTGTGTGTCCCCTCGCTACACCACCACCACGTGCTCTGTGTGTCCCCTCGCTACACCACCACCACCACGTGCTCTGTGTGTCCCCTCGCTACACCACCACCACGTGATCTGTGTGTCCCCTCGCTACACCACCACCACCACGTGTTCTGTGTGTAGCCTCTCGCTACACCATCACGTGCTCTGTGTGTCCCCTCGCTACACCACCACCACCACGTGCTCTGTGTGTCCCCTCGCTACACCACCACCACCACGTGCTCTGTGTGTCCCCTCGCTACACCACCACCACCACGTGGTCTGTGTGTCCCCTCGCTACACCACCACCACCACGTGCTGTGTGTCCCTCGCTACACCACCACCACGTGCTCTGTGTGTCCCCTCGCTACAACACCACCACCACCACGTGCTCTGTGTGTCCCCTCGCTACACCACCACCACCTCGTGCTCTGTGTGTCCCCTCGCTACACCACCACCACCACGTGCTCTGTGTCTCCCCTCGCTACACCACCACGTGCTCTGTGTGTCCCCTCGCTACACCACCACCACGTGCTCTGTGTGTCCCCTCGCTACACCACCACCACCACGTGCTCTGTGTGTCCCCCCGCTACACCACCACGTGCTCTGTGTGTCCCCTCGCTACACCACCACGTGCTCTGTGTGTCCCCTCGCTACACCACCACCACGTGTTCTGTGTGTCCCCTCGCTACACCACCACCACCACGTGCTGTGTGTGTGTTCTCGCTTCACCACCACCACGTGCTCTGTGTGTCCCCTCGCTACACCACCACCACCACGTGCTCTGTGTGTGTCCCCTCGCTACACCACCACCACGTGCTGTGTGTCCCCTCGCTACACCACCACCACGTGATCTGTGTGTCCCCTCGCTACACCACCACCACCACGTGTTCTGTGTGTAGCCTCTCGCTACACCACCACCACCACGTGCTCTGTGTGTCGTGTCCTCGCTACACCACCACGTGCTCTGTGTGTCCCCTCGCTACACCACCACCACGTGCTCTGTGTGTAGCCTCTCGCTACACCATCACGTGCTCTGTGTGTCCCCTCGCTACACCACCACCACCACCACGTGCTCTGTGTGTCCCCTCGCTACACCACCACCACCACGTGCTCTGTGTGTCCCCTCGCTACACCACCACCACCACGTGGTCTGTGTGTCCCCTCGCTACACCACCACCACCACGTGCTCTGTGTGTCCCTCGCTACACCACCACCACGTGCTCTGTGTGTCCCCTCGCTACACCACCACCACCACGTGCTCTGTGTGTCCCTTCGCTACACCACCACCACGTGCTCTGTGTGTCCCCTCGCTACACCACCACCACGTGCTCTGTGTGTCCCCTCGCTACACCACCACCACCACGTGCTCTGTGTGTCCCCTCGCTACACCACCACGTGCTCTGTGTGTCCCCTCGCTACACCACCACCACGTGCTCTGTGTGTCCCCTCGCTACACCACCACCACCACGTGCTCTGTGTGTCCCCTCGCTACACCACCACCACCACGTGCTCTGTGTGTCCCCTCGCTACACCACCACGTGCTCTGTGTGTCCCCTCGCTACACCACCACCACGTGTTCTGTGTGTCCCCTCGCTACACCACCACCACGTGCTGTGTGTGTGTTCTCGCTTCACCACCACCACGTGCTCTGTGTGTCCCCTCGCTACACCACCACCACCACGTGCTCTGTGTGTCCCCTCGCTACACCACCACCACCACCACCACGTGGTCTGTGTGTCCCCTCGCTACACCACCACCACCACGTGCTCTGTGTGTCCCTCGCTACACCACCACCACGTGCTCTGTGTGTCCCCTCGCTACACCACCACCACGTGCTCTGTGTGTCCCCTCGCTACACCACCACCACCACGTGCTCTGTGTGTCCCCTCGCTACACCACCACCACCACGTGCTCTGTGTGTCCCCTCGCTACACCACCACCACCACGTGGTCTGTGTGTCCCCTCGCTACACCACCACCCCCACGTGCTGTGTGTCCCTCGCTACACCACCACCACGTGCTCTGTGTGTCCCCTCGCTACAACACCACCACCACCACCACGTGCTCTGTGTGTCCCCTCGCTACACCACCACCACCACGTGCTCTGTGTGTCCCCTCGCTACACCACCACCACCACGTGCTCTGTGTGTCCCCTCGCTACACCACCACGTGCTCTGTGTGTCCCCTCGCTACACCACCACCACGTGCTCTGTGTGTCCCCTCGCTACACCACCACCACCACGTGCTCTGTGTGTCCCCTCGCTACACCACCACGTGCTCTGTGTGTCCCCTCGCTACACCACCACGTGCTCTGTGTGTCCCCTCGCTACACCACCACCACGTGTTCTGTGTGTCCCCTCGCTACACCACCACCACCACGTGCTGTGTGTGTGTTCTCGCTTCACCACCACCACGTGCTCTGTGTGTCCCCTCGCTACACCACCACCACCACGTGCTCTGTGTGTGTCCCCTCGCTACACCACCACCACGTGCTGTGTGTCCCCTCGCTACACCACCACCACGTGATCTGTGTGTCCCCTCGCTACACCACCACCACCACGTGTTCTGTGTGTAGCCTCTCGCTACACCACCACCACCACGTGCTCTGTGTGTCGTGTCCTCGCTACACCACCACGTGCTCTGTGTGTCCCCTCGCTACACCACCACCACGTGCTCTGTGTGTAGCCTCTCGCTACACCATCACGTGCTCTGTGTGTCCCCTCGCTACACCACCACCACCACCACGTGCTCTGTGTGTCCCCTCGCTACACCACCACCACCACGTGCTCTGTGTGTCCCCTCGCTACACCACCACCACCACGTGGTCTGTGTGTCCCCTCGCTACACCACCACCACCACGTGCTCTGTGTGTCCCTCGCTACACCACCACCACGTGCTCTGTGTGTCCCCTCGCTACACCACCACCACCACGTGCTCTGTGTGTCCCTTCGCTACACCACCACCACGTGCTCTGTGTGTCCCCTCGCTACACCACCACCACGTGCTCTGTGTGTCCCCTCGCTACACCACCACCACCACGTGCTCTGTGTGTCCCCTCGCTACACCACCACGTGCTCTGTGTGTCCCCTCGCTACACCACCACCACGTGCTCTGTGTGTCCCCTCGCTACACCACCACCACCACGTGCTCTGTGTGTCCCCTCGCTACACCACCACCACCACGTGCTCTGTGTGTCCCCTCGCTACACCACCACGTGCTCTGTGTGTCCCCTCGCTACACCACCACCACGTGTTCTGTGTGTCCCCTCGCTACACCACCACCACGTGCTGTGTGTGTGTTCTCGCTTCACCACCACCACGTGCTCTGTGTGTCCCCTCGCTACACCACCACCACCACGTGCTCTGTGTGTCCCCTCGCTACACCACCACCACCACCACCACGTGGTCTGTGTGTCCCCTCGCTACACCACCCCCACCACGTGCTCTGTGTGTCCCTCGCTACACCACCACCACGTGCTCTGTGTGTCCCCTCGCTACACCACCACCACGTGCTCTGTGTGTCCCCTCGCTACACCACCACCACGTGCTCTATGTGTCCCCTCGCTACACCACCACCACCACGTGCTCTGTGTGTCCCCTCGTTACACCACCACCACGTGCTCTGTGTGTCCCCTCGCTACACCACCACCACGTGCTCTGTGTGTCCCCTCGCTACACCACCACCACCACGTGCTCTGTGTGTCCCCTCGCTACACCACCACCACCGCGTGCTCTGTGTGTCCCCTCGCTACACCACCATGTGCTCTGTGTGTCCCCTCGCTACACCACCACCACGTGTTCTGTGTGTCCCCTCGCTACACCACCACCACGTGCTGTGTGTGTGTTCTCGCTTCACCACCACCACGTGCTCTGTGTGTCCCCTCGCTACACCACCACCACCACGTGCTCTGTGTGTGTCCCCTCGCTACACCACCACCACGTGCTCTGTGTGTCCCCTCGCTACACCACCACCACCACGTGCTCTGTGTGTCCCCTCGCTACACCACCACCACGTGCTCTGTGTGTCGTCCCCTCGCTACACCACCACCACGTGCTCTGTGTGTCACCTCGCTACACCACCACCACCACGTGCTCTGTGTGTCCCCTCGCTACACCACCACCACCACGTGCTCTGTGTGTCACCTCGCTACACCACCACCACGTGCTCTGTGTGTCCCTCGCTACACCACCACGTGTTCTGTGTGTGTCCCCTCGCTACACCACCACCACGTGCTGTCTCCCCTCGCTACACCACCACCACGTGCTCTGTGTGTCCCCTCGCTACACCACCACCACGTGCTCTGTGTGTGTCCCCTCGCTACACCACTACGTGCTGTCTCCCCTCGCTACACCACCACGTGCTCTGTGTGTCCCCTCGCTACACCACCACCACGTGCTCTGTGTGTCCCCTCGCTACACCACCACCACGTGCTCTGTGTGTGTCCCCTCGCTACACCACTACGTGCTGTCTCCCCTCGCTACACCACCACGTGCTATGTGTCCCCTCGCTACACCACCACCACTGCTCTGTGTGTCCCGTCGCTACACCACCACCACGTGCTCTGTGTGTGTCCCCTCGCTACACCACCACCACGTGATCTGTGTGTCGTCTCCTCGCTACACCACCACGTGCTCTGTGTGTCCCCTCGCTACACCACCACGTGCTGTGTGTATCATCTCGCTACACCACCACGTGCTCTGTGTGTCCCCTCGCTACACCACCACGTGCTCTGTGTAGCCTCTCCCTACACCACCACCGTGATGTTGGGCTATATGAACATTATGGCGGTACGCCGGGGTTCCATTATACCCCTGATCTCGCATAATGTCCGTGATGCAGTCATCTTTAGTCTGTTGATGGTCGGCGATGCGGCAATCGACTCATCTCAACGAGCTGTACCCACGATGCACTATTAAAAGTTTCAT